GCTTGTGCTTGCACTCTCTTTCTCTCTTCAAATAAATAAATAAAATATTTTTTAAAAATAAAAATTCAAAATTCATGTAAAATCCATTAAAATATATCAATGGGGATAAAGTCAGAAGACCCAGCACTTTCCCCTCAGCAACTTTTCCTCTCTGTAAATCTTGAAATCAAAAGTACTCATGGATGCAACTCCTCAGCTCTTGTTTGCTTATTTAGTTCTATTCTCTAAAATGTATTACTAACTCAAACTGTATTCATGAAGTACTCACAACGAAAGGAGAAGGCAGGAAGCTGCTGATTACGGAGATCTTTACACTTGACCCTGATAAATTTGATCCAATTATGTACAATGGCAGTAGCGAAGATATGATTCATTTCCAAGTGAACATCCTTTTAAAGAGGATGGGAAGAGAAAACAACCACCACCACAATATAGAGGCTTGGAAATCAATCCTCCAAAGGAATTCTGGTATTATCTTGCCAGGTCCAACTGGGCTGTCTAATCATTTGTTAAATCACCACTGAATTGTCCCCTTGTTCTTCCAGAAATGTTTTCATCCTACATCAAAAAGCACTAATTGCAGAGTTATCAATCAGATGAGCAATCTACTACAAATTGCAACGCAAATACCACCAATTCCAACCAAGCTGAAGCTACACCATGATCCAGCCTGCTCCAGCAACCTCATGATGAAACCCACCCCCCATGCCACGTCTTTTCTCAAGGTCCTATTTTCCATAGCTGCCGTGAAATCAACGTGTCTTTTGTGAGGCATATATTTCAGACATTCATTCTCTTTCTATTGACCATTAGTGAACTACTTAACAGTATGTGGAACATTGACTAGTCACCCTTTGCTTTGTGATGCTAATTTTTCAATACACTCGGAAAAAAAAAACGTTGAACCCTGGACTACCCAATCTTACCTGTCCAAGGCAATGGCAGGGAAGCTGAGGATAGTCACAGAGCAGAAGACTTTGTGCAAAAATTTGACGACCCTGCAGAAGAGCATGGTGTAGATCCACCAGCAGCAGTGAGGACTGGTGCTGAGGATGATGTCAAAGGGCACGCAGACCAGGCTGGTACAAATCCCGGAGCAGGCTAGGTTTTTAATGAACCTGTTGGTGACAGATTTGAACACGGTTGTTCGGCAAGTTGACCATAACACCATGAAGTTTCCTGGCCAGATAGG